AAAAATAGAAAGAAATTAATTGGACAACTAAAAACATATAGAAAAAATTAGCCGGGCATGGTGGCGCATGCCTGTAGTCCCAGCTACTCGGGAGGCTGAGGCAGAAGGATCGCTTGAGCCCAGGAGTTTGAGGTTGCTGTGAGCTAGGCAGACGCCACGGCACTCACTCTAGCCCGGGCAACACAGTGAGACTCTGTCTCGAAAAAAAACAAAAAAAACAAATGTGCTTTGAAGGTGAAAGTGGAATTTATAGCAGTATATTTCTATCACCATGATTCTTGCTCTTACTATTAATAAAGGAGGGTGAGTGTGCTGGGCAGTGCACTGTCTGCCTGCAGGTTCGTGATGAGAATTTACAATGGATGAAAGGCATCAAGTACAAGTGCCCATGAAATGCACTTGAGAACTGTTCATCCCCTTCCCTTGGCTTTGCTTTCTAGAGGCAGAAGACTAGCATGTTCTCCTGAAGAACAGGACCCTCACTACTTGTCCTCTCATTTTTTTCCTTCTTGATTATCCCAGCTGGACTCTGGAGAATCACTCTTGACAATTTTCTGTCTCTGAGCCCCACATTGTTTAGTCCTGACGACTTGACTTTACAAATAGCTTGGGGCTATCTCCCTGTTGCCACTGTGCCCAGCCACCAGACCTTGCCTCCTGACTGTCTGGGTCTTCCCAGCCTCGCACCTCTCCAACTACTCCCTGAAGGGCAGCCAAAGCCCAAAATTAATCTTCTCTGTCCTTTGCTAAAAATCCTTCCATTCCCCTCAAAATGAAGTGCAAAATCCTTAACTCAACTGAGGCCCTTCCTTCACCAGCTTTATGGCCTTCTCTAGTCACACCAAACTTCCTCTGGAATGAAAACTTCCTTAGTCCCTTAGGCTTCCCCACAGCTGCCCCACTGCCAGGACCTTCTTCCTTATGTCTTCCCCTTGATAACTCTGCCTCTTCCCCGGGTCTGAACTTGGACGGGGCTGGCTAAGGCACACCTCCCACAACCAAAACCCAGTTAGGGGGCCTCTCCTGCACCTTCACGCAGCACTTTCCACTCGTCACATTTAATTAGAAATTCTCTTAATTTCATTGCTATTTCCTTCATGAAACTGTAAGTTGTGCTGGGCTAGGAATGTTGGCTGTCCTATTTGGCACTGTTGTCTAGAGCCCAGCACAGTCATATAGTAGGCATATATTTGTCAAATATTTTTATAATGAAAGTAAACATTCATTAAGTGCCTGCTAAGTACTATCCATTATTTCTTTTAATGCTATAACAACCTCAGAGTAAGAATATTATTTTTACCAGAGTATGGATACATTGCATACATCCCAGAGAATAAATTTCTGAATGTTGGACTGAGTTACTAAGTTTACTTCTTCAACATATGGACCAGTGAGGAAAGGACAAGTTGAATCAGGATTTTATGTCTGCATACTACTTTCAGGGTTTTCAAAGTATTTCTACACCCATAGGACTAATGATTATCAAGTATTAGATAGAATTCCTCTTAGGAAAAGGGGATCATTGTATACTGTCTATGGGGATATAAACTAGTGGAAATGTAAAATGTATTTGGAGGATGATTTGAATTTATCTATCAAAATTTGATATGTACCTATCTTTCAGGTACAACAATCCCACTTGAAGGAATCTATCCCAAAGACAGACTTGTACATGTGCCCAAAAATCTATGTATAAGGAAATATGTTACAGGATTGTTTTTAATAGAGTTAGGAAGGATAAAATTTAAATGTTCATTAATAATGGAGAAGGACCTTGCAGCTAATGAGAATGAGATAGACCAATATCTACTTGTGTGGAAAGTTCTCTAAGACATGTTTGTTGTTTTGTCTATTTTTTTTCTTTTTGAGGCGGGGTCTTGCTCTGTCATCCAGGCTGGAGTGCAATGGCATGATCATAGCTTACGGTAGCCTCAAACTCCTGGGCTCAAGCAATCCTCCAAAGTGCTGGGATTACAGGAGTGAGCCACTATGCCTGCCTTAAGACATAATTTTTTTAAAAGACAAGATAAAAAATTCATATAGTATTGCCTTATTTATGTTTATTGAAGTACTATGTATTTATGTATAAATATATGTTATATATACACCTATATACATATATGCATGTAGAAAAGGATTGGAAGGAAATTTATCAAACTATTCAGAATGTTTCCTCCATGGAGGGGAGTGATTGTGAGAGAAGCTTCCACATCTTCCTCTAAAGATTTCAGGATGGTTTAAATCTCATATGCTGAGAATGTATTCATTACTTACCAAATAAAAATAAAATAATTAATCAATTAAAAATTAAGTTCCCTTTATATCATTTTATCATTTGCTTTTAGGTCTGTTTTTGTTAACTTTTTCTCTGTATATAATTAATATATGTTAAGAGTTAAAAGTGCTACAATAAAAACTAAGAAGTATATAAATAAAAAACAAACTTCTCTAACAACTCAGCATTGAGTTAAACTGTTAACATTTTGGTAACAGAAAAAAGGAGAGAGGGAGAAAGTGTTATGTCTATATAATATATACATATAACCAAATTGCTAACATATAATATATGGAGTTTTGTACTCTGATATTTTCATTTAGCATGATATTGAGGGCTTTTCCTCATGTCATTACTTATTCTTTAGAAATGTGATGTCTAATGAATATATGATGTTCCATTAGATGAATGTATCTACTAGATATTCAGGTTGTTTCACCTTTCTCATTATTAGATACAAGGCAGCAGTAATTATTGTCTGCATATATTTGTCAATATCTCTGATTATTTCTTTATATAGATTCCTAGTAACATATGGATTTAATGGAGTAAATGTAAACTCTTAAGGCCTCTGAACATATTGCACCAAGGTCACACCAATTTACTCTCCCACTAGCAGGATGTAACAATTCCCATTTCACCCTATCATTGTTTATTAGTATTTTTCGACCTTACCAATTTGATGGGAGACGAGGTGTCTAATTGATTTTCAATTTGTATTTTTTCAAAGTACATATAGTTACCAGTAAAGTTGAATATTTTTGTATGTGGTTTTGAATTCTTTTCTTTTTTCCCCTAGATTTTCCACTGAAGTATTTATCACACTTTCTTATTTCTTTATATGTTATGGTATGAATGTGTGTGCATGTGTGTTTGTATACTGAACACTGATTTATATGCACTGATTTGTACTGATACACACACAAATCCTATGACCCTTTTTGTCTGTCGTATATATTACAGATATTTTTCTGAGATCTGTCTTCATTTTATTTATATGTTTTTATGCAAAATAACATTTTTATGTATTCAGTCTATAAATCTTTTCTTTATGGTTTCTTCTGTGGATTTTATGCTTATGTTTCCCTACCCTACTACACTTTTTTTGAGAAATGTACTTTTTGATGTATCTCAGGTTGTTGGGAGGTTTAGAAAGAAGCATGATAAGCCCAAGAAAATTCTATTTCCAGAGAGAGCTCACTAAATATATTTTGTTCCAAATAAAACTGAAGAATATTAATATAATAAATGTGCAGAGTATGAATAAGCTGTCACCAAACTTCCTAGAAGAAATAAATCAGTGTTCAGTTTCTCTCTGTTGCTTCTGGAAGAAGTCAGGTTCAAGTGATAAGCTGATATCTGACTAATCAGGTTATAGTTCACTGGAGGTCTAAATTGAATCTGCCAATCACAAGGGTCATGGCCAGGGACAGGACTGCTTATCTGGAGGCAAAGTATCCAGGAACCACCCTAAAGGATAACACAAACAGAACCTTCAGAGTAAGAGTCACTGGTCACATCAAATCAGGGTGCATGTCGACCTCCATGAGTTATAATTCTTAAAATGTGACTAATAGAAAAAACTCTCATGAATTTATCTGCTTTTTCCAAATAAATAGAACCTCAGCTATTTCAAGGCCAGTTAGATAAGGTCTTTTTTTCATTCTTTTTTAAAGTTATCCTGCCTTTTTTTCCCCCAACTTCTTCTTATGGGAAATTTCAAATATATTAGAAAGCAGAAAACATAGTAGAATGAACCTCCCCCTCCAACATTCTTATTTTCTAAATTTAATAATTATCAATTCATGGCCAATCTGTTTCAGCTACTCCTCCCCTCCCCCTACTACTCCCACCATCCAGATTATGTTGAAGCAAATTCCAAACATTGCATTATTTCCTCTGTAAATATTTTAGCATGGAAAGAACTTTTAAGGATATTGTTTCCACTTAATGACTATAAAGCCTGACATGTTGCTATTTAAATTATTAGTTGCTGTTATATTTGCCAGGAAGCACTGGGGTTCAATGCTCGTGTTCTCATTTCTTGGGTGTTCCTTATCCCAGTGCAATCTGCTGCTCCACTGGATTTGTTCATGTAAAGACAAGGTTCTCCTAGTGGCCAAATTCAATGGAAACTGTTTAGTACTTACTTGGCCTTTCTCCACTTTTATCCCCACCGTGCCTTCATACTGGAAGCTCTTTTTCTCCAGTTGGGACCTAACTAGTAGCCTCTGGTGGTTCTCTTGCTGACATAGTCTCTTTCCTCTCGCTATCTCTGTCTCTGTCTCTCTGTTTCTGTCTCTGTCTCTCTCTCTTTTTCCTTTGGAGGCTTTTATGATGGAAAAGATAGGAATCCACTCAGTTGAGGAAGAGAAGGTAAGCAAAGGAAGGACATAATCTCTCACAAGTTCTCCCTATCCTTTCATCTTGGATGATGTTCACTTGTGACTCTGGCCTAGAGAGTTCCTGAACATTTCTGCAGCTCCATACTTCTACCCATCAGCAATAAGCCATGAACTGACAATGCAACAAAGACCAGTTTCCTCCCACCTCAAAAAAATTCTTAAGAGCTTTTCTTTCTCTCTCCTTTTCACTGCCTTTACAAATACTTTTTTTCCCAACGGCTAAAATACATTTCTATTACAACCACACAAGAAATTGCAGTGGACTACTTTTTATTTGGGCAGAAAATGAAAGATACGTCAATCAGGGACACATAGTTTACCTCATCGAAGACCTTAGAAACAACATGCTTGTCCAGAACGGGGATGTAGGTCGGGCTGTGGGGGACCGCAGTCACTGACAAGGCATCCATGATGGTCAGTTTCTTGGCGACCAAGCCATAGGTCTTAAGCCAGTTTTCTGAAGATATATCTGAAAAACTAAGAACACAGGACTGTGGTATTTTAAAACTTACAACTTGGTGGGTAACAGACAAAACTGTTCTCATAAAATTAAAGCACTCACTCGTCATAAACTTGGCTTCCTTTTCCAGTCAATGATTTGTCATCCAGGCACTCATTTGTCAGCAGGATGCTTACTTCTGTGGAAGGGGAAATGGCAGCTGTATATTTTGCTCATATATGGCGTTTACATCAAAATGCAAAAGGACCACACTTGTCTCAGTTCAGCTGTGACCAAGGGCTAATAAATGGACCATATGTCAGAAAACATACCTTGATCTGTCAGAGTGGGTTCTCAGGCAAGATTCCTTTGCAATTTACACTAAATGCATAGATAAATATGGCACTACCATTGTTTTGCTTATCTACATCACCCCACATCCATTGAGATCTCTCGCTATGGAAGAATGAGACATATTCATTCTCTTATTCTCCAGAAAACACATCTTTAAAATTAATTTATCTATCTATCTATCTATCTATCTATCTATCTATCTATCTATTTATTTTTAAGAGACAGCATCTTGCTCTGTCATCGAGGCTGGTGTGCAATGGTGCTAATGTAGCTCACTGCAACTTGACCTCCTGAGCTCAAGTGCTCCTCCTGCCTCAGCGTCTCGAGCAGCTAATATTTTTATTATTCTTTTTAGAGATGCAGTCTCACTATGTTGCTGGTTTTGAACTCCTGGCCTCAAGCGATCCTCCTGCCTCAGCCTCCCAAAATGCTGGGATTATGGGTGTGAGCCACCATGCCCAGCCTAAAATGTTCAATAAGAATACCATGAACCCATGATTGTTCAATGTTGACCTCTTAGACTTCCCCAGATTATGCGGGAGAGGCTTGATCAACATTTTAGTTTCTGATAGTTCATATTATGGTTCTCCAGCTTGTTAGGTTCTGCTCAGTTGTACGTTTAAATTTTCAAATTAATATTTGGGGGTTTAAATTTATATCCTTACATAAACTTGTATTTATAAATGGGAAGGAATATTACTTTGTTGAATGAGCAGCATTGAGAGGTACATAAGCTAATGAAATAACTAAGAAATCATTTTCTAATCATCATTTGATAAGCCCTTTAAGCACTGTGCATGTAAGAGACTTGGAAATGTGACAGGATAATTGAAACTGAGGAAAAGGCATCACACAGATCAGCATTAACAAAAATAGAGTTTGATTAAACTATGAGTAACAACAGGTGTACATTTGTCACTCAGGTGCCTCCTACTACCCAGGGGACTGTATGTGGGATTTATTATTTATCGACTATTTGAAATATAGGGAAAAGTACAATTGGAATTAAACTTTAAAAATTTACTATTTAAAAAATAGTAAGTTTATCAATAGTAATAAAAATTGAGTGGAAAAATCATATTTTCCTCATAGTTAGCCCCCAATAGGCTGACAATTTGGGCCAGAGAGGGGTTCATTGGATGGTACCCAATGAATGAGGAGAAGAAAGTAAACCAACTGTCAAGTATTAATGTTTCAAATTCAAACCATGGAGTGACAGCAAGCATCACCACTAGCACCATAGTTATGTGAGCCTGTGTGTATTAAACACCCAAGCACTCTAAGCACAAGTCTAGCCCTAAGAAAAATCCAGTTCATAAAGCAGGTGGACTTAACAAGGGATTCCTTAGAATAGGAAACAATCGGGGCCCAATTAAAATACGATTTGTTTTTCCCAAACATATCCACACCTGGCCCTTTCAGGAATGCACTGGGCGAAGGGAGGCCGGCTGAGCTTCCTGGGGTAGAGACCCTCTCTGGCTTGTCTTTGTCACTTGGAGCAGTGTTCCAGACACAGTAATTGGAGAGGCCATCCTTCCTTTCACTGCAAGATAAGCTCTTGAGGGTAGACATCTGGCTTCTGAGCAGGCTGGTTTTGGTTGATTCTGTTGGTATCACAGGGAGAGAAGTTAAAGGAATTTGGGATGGAAGGAGATATTAATACTTCATTAGATACAACTATTTCACTGGATCCTTAAAAGAAGAATGCAACTTTGGTTCCTAACCCTCAGAAGATAGTCCTGCCACAAACTGCATGCTGCCACAAGGGATTTCCCCCTTTATCTGAATTCAAGCTGTGCCCCTTTTGGAGAGAAATCTGTTTCCAAGCTCATTCAGGGTGTTGGCAGAATTCAGTTCCTTGCAGCTGTAGGACTGAGGTCCCCATTTCCTTGCTGGTTGTAGCCCAGGGGCTTCTCTCAGCTCCTTAAGGCAACCACATTTCTTCTCATTGACTCCTCCATCTTCAAGCCAGCAATGGAGTACTGAATTACTCTCATGGTTCAAATTTCTCTTTCTCTTCTGCCACCAACTGGAAGAAGCTCCTACTTGTAAGGGCTCATGTGATTACACTGGACCCATCTAGCCAACCCTGTCTTTAGGTCAATATACCATGATCATGAGAGTGATGTCTCATATTCAGAGGCTGCAGGGTTTAGGTCAGGACATCTTTGGTAAGCCCTTTTAGAAATTCTACCTACCACAATTGTTGTCTAGACCTTTACCTGTATTATTTTCCACTTTCTGTTGCATCCCTTCTCCTAGCAAGTGATACTTATCAAATATCGACCTTTAATCTGTATGCTTTAGAGGACAATGAACCTGTGCCAAGTCAACTTGATTACTTTTCATATTTGATGATATAAATCACACTAATTGTATTCTGTACTTCACAATTTGGAGGCATAAGTTCCAAGGCTTTACATAAGCATTCATGAATGAAATGTGTTTGTGTTTTCAGTGAGGGGGACTCAACCTCTTCTATAAGAACTTAGATAATTAAAGATTAGCTAATAATCTGCAAATGATCTATATTTTACACAGAAAAGTAATACTAGTGGTCTCCATGAAAGGAGATAAGAGTGTGCTATGTGGTATTCATTGTTTTTCTAGGCAACAAAAGGGTGAGCCCTGTCTTGGTTGTGTCTGTGATCAGGAGTTAAGAAAGATATACTTTCTTTGGAACTATGTAAGAAAAAGGGATAAATGATCCACATAGGAGAGCTGAGCTCCTGCCCCTGACACACTGGCAGGCCACCTTGACCACAATTGCTGGATGAAAATGACCAGATTTTTTTTTTTTTTTATTTCAGCATATTATGGGGGTACAGATGTTTAGGTTACGTATGTTGCCCTTGCCCCCCCGCCCAAGTCCAAGTTTCAAGTGTGTCTATCCCTCGGATAGTGCACATTGCACTCTTTGTGTATGCATATACCCGTCCCCTCCTCCCCCCTCCTCCCTCCCCCCTGCCCGACATCCAATAGATGTTATTCTTATATGTGCACTTATGTGTTGATCAGTTAATACCAATTTGCTGGTGAGTACATGTGGTGCTTGTTTTTCCATTCTTGGGATACTTCACTTAGTAGAATGTGTTCCAGCTCTATCCAGGAGAATACAAGAGGTGCTATATCACCATTGTTTCTTAAAGCCAAATAGTACTCCATGGTATACATATACCACATTTTATTAATCCACTCATGTATTAATGGAAAAAACAACCAGATTTTGTGTGTGCCAAATGAAACTGAAATTTAGCTCCCAAAGTCCCCAAACACAAAAACTGCACTATTCTCAAATGCTGCAAATACTGAATGAAAACGTGTTTGTTTGACAGTGGATTCAGGCATTTAACTCCTCCCCAGACTCTGTATGACTGGCCATTCATCACATTTCATCGCTTTTTTACATAAAAAAATGGAAACAAAATAAAAAGTCAGCATATGATTGCCTCTCAATACCAAGGATCCCAAATCTAAGTGAAATGGTAGAAATGACAATAGGCCATTAAAATGCTTAGGACAAGCAGCAATTCTAACAAGACTCAGGTTCACTGGGGTGGGCAGGCAGGACTGGCCAAAGGGATGCCACCATACAAGTAGCCGGTATAGGAAGGCTGTTGTCCCCATGGGCCCAAGACACTGCTCCTTGTACAGAGATACCAGGAGCAAGTAGACAGATAATGCAAGAGGGAAGAAGCTTCAGGAAGTGGCCCATTCCAGGAAGTCTCTTGGTTCCTGTGGTTTCAAGTTTCTCCCCCACCACCCAGAGACATGGAGAGACCCCAGAGACCCACAGACAGCAGTAGGAGAAGTCACCACAATGACTGCACTCTCACAAAACACCTAATATCCTGGTCTGAGGAGACCCCTGCTGCCAGCTCAGGTAGTACCAGCAGGGGCCAGTAGGAGTCCCAGGCACACCAGGAAAACAAACACCAAAATAATACCATAAAGGCTATAAAAATTAAATTGCCACTGGAACCACCCACAAAAGTAGGTCAAGACCTATATGCTAAATTTAAGCAGGGTGACTACTTCCTAAAATAAAAGATTTAAATAGGTTCCAGAGTCCCTAACAAAATAAACAAAATGTCTAGGACACTATCAAAAATCACCTATCATATCAAGAATCAAGAAAATTGCATCTTTTATGAGAAAAAATAAATGATGCCAACACCAAGATGTATTAAAAGTCAGAGTTATCTGACAAGGATTTTAAAGAAGCTGACTATAAAAATGCTTCAACAATTAATTACGAATTCTCCTGAAACAACTGAACAAATAGAAAATAAAACCTCTAGCAAGACTGGAAAAGACGAAAAGAGAGAAGTCAGACACAAAGCACTAATATCAAGAATGAAATAGGGAACATCACTAAAGATCTTGCAGCCATTAAAAAGGTAATAAAGGAATACAACAAACAACTTTGCCCTCATAAATTTGACAAATTAGAAAAAATGGACCAATTAATTCCTCAAAAACCACAAAGTGCTGAAACTCAACCAAGATGAAATGGATGATATGAATCACCTTAAAACCATTATAGCAATTGAATTAATTATGAAATCTCCTGAAAAAGAAATCCCTAGGCCCAAATGGTTTCATGATAATTTTATCAAATATTCAAAAGAAGAATTACATTAATTTCTTCCAGGAATAGAAGAGGAAGGACAACTTCCCAACTCATTTGATGAGGACAATATCAGTTTGATACTAAAGCTGGACAAGGACAGTGTTATAAAAAGAAAAAAAACCCAAAAAACTACAGGCCAATAGCGTTCATGAACTTTGATCAAAAATCTTCAACAAAATATTAGCAAATTGAATCCAGCAATGTATTAAAAGAATCATACACTGAAACTAAGTGGGAAATATTCTGAGATATACAAAGTCGCTTCAACATTTGAATACCAGTCAATGTAATCTACATATCAATAGACCAAAGAAGAAAAATCATATATCAATTCACACAGAAAAGGAATTTGGCAAAATCCAGTACCCATTCACGATAAAAATTCTCAGAAAGCTTGGAATGTGGGGAACTTCCTCAACTTGATAAAGATTTTCTTCTGTTTTTTTCTAGAAGTTTTATAGTTTTATGTTTTACATTGAACTACATGATCCATTTGAGTCCATTTTTGTATAAGGTGTGAGGCTTAGGTCAAGTTTCTTTTTTTCTTTTTCCTTCTTTTTTTCCTCTCTCTCTCTTTTTTTTTTTTTTGCCTATAGATATTGTTCCAGCACCATTTGTTGAAAGGCTATACTTACTCTATTGAACTAATTTTGCACCTTTATCAAAATCAGTTGGGCACATTTATGTGAGTTAAATCTAGTTCCTCTATTCTGGCTATCCCTCTGCCAATACTACACTGTCTTCATTAATATATTTACATGGTAAGCCTTAATATCAGGCACAGTGATTCCTCCAACTTTATTCTTTTTTTCAAAATTATTTTAGCTATCCTAGGACCAGAAATTCCTGTATACATTTTAGAATATGCTTATTTATGTTTATAAAAAATGTTTCTGGGATTTTATTACAAATTACATTAAACATGTAGATCAATTTTGTGAGAACTGGCATCTATGATGCCAATTCATCCACCCCATGAACATAGTATGTTTCTCTATTTATTTAGGTCTTTGATGTCTTACAGCAGAATTTTGTAATTTTCAACACACAGATCCTGTAAATGTTAAGTTATTTTATTTGGAGTAATTATAAATGGTTTTTAATACAGTTGCTGTATGTTCATTGTTAGTATGCCAAAATGCAATTAATTTTGTGTGTTGAGCCTGTAACTGGCAATGTTGCTGAACTCACTTAATAGTTCTAGGAATTTGTATTTTTGATAGATCCTTTGCTGTTTCTACATAGACGACATGCTATCTACAAATAGGGATAGTTTTTTTTTTTCATCCTTCCCCATCTTTCTGACTTTATTTCTTCTTCTTGCCTTGTTGCAGTAGCTAGAACTTCCAGTACTATATTGAATAAGGGTGGTGAGAGTGGGTATCCTTACCTTTTTCTCAATCTTAGGGAGAAATAATTCAGTCTTTCACCATTTAGTATGATTTTAGCTGTAGGGAAGGCAGTGAAAGGGAAGTGGGTGTGATTATAAAAGGGCAAACGAGCACAAGTAAAACTGGAACAATCTGAATAAGACCTGTGGATTGGATCAATATCAGTTTCCTGGCTTCAATATCTCTTTACTATTATTTTGCAAGAGGTTACCATTGGGAAAAACTAGATGAAGGGTAAGCATATAAGATCATGTGAATATATAATTATCTAAATAAAATTTTTAGTTAAAAAACCGCCATAAGTTTAGGGCTTTTAAAAAATACTATGTGGGTTTAATTTTATTCTATCTTCTTGCATTGAAGGAAAACCAGTAAAGAGTCAAGCCATTTTGTTCACCAATACCTGCATGGAGGACTTTCTTTTTCTGAATCTTTTGATCCGAAAGGCCCCATGGTCCTTTCAACATATTCAGGGATGAGGTTCGCATTGATTCAACATCGGATTGAAGTTTTGCACATTTTTCTTGGGTTGAAACCATAGAACAGATTTCCTTTTGATGCCTGCTTTGATATAGATAAAAAGTGGACCAAAAAAAAAAAAAAGTTAAAAAAAAAAGGGGTGGGGGAGAAAATTTCCATCAAGAAGGCAGAGTTAAATCAATACATTCATGTTGAACACGTCAAACCTAAAGAAGTGAGCCTTCCCTCATTTGGGTTAATATAAAAATAGTCATTTATCCTGTTCCATGCAGAAGAGTAGACAGGGGCCCACCCCTGGAGTCAGAAGATATGGCTCGCATCATGAGTCTGGTCCCTCCTGCCTGTGTGACTTTGTTGAAGTTGCTCATTCCTCTCTAAACTTCTTCACTTTTCTCATCCATAAACTGCAGGAAACCTCACCTGTGTACCAACACGTAGGGCTGATGTGAGGATTAATATGAGGGAGAGGTAGTCGTAAACATGTAAGCATGACAGAAAGCCACTTCTCTAACCACAGTGTCAACCAGCAAGCTCTTATAAAAGGTAGAGAAATGAAACTCCTGCCTTGGACCAGATTGTGGCAAATCATTCTGGAGAAGATGTGGGACCAGGAGGGATCCCAGAAATGCCTAAGTATTTTCCCAGACATTACCTTCTCTGAAGTTCTAAATCCAGCAGCCACAGAAAGGAAAGTTTCCAGAACAATCTCCTGCTGCAACACTGTAAAGTGTGCCCTCTGTCCTTCACCAGTCACCCCGCCCCCATACCTCCATGGAGCACCCACCCCATTCCACAATCCTTTGTGTAACTGTGTCTACACCATGTATCCCACGGCAGAAAGGACGAGGCTTACATCCATTTGTATATCCCAGTTCTCCTGACATGTGATTTTGACTCAATAGAGGTTTGAAAAAAGATTTGGGAGCTGTAAAATTTTTTTCACCTAGCGGAAAACTAGAAAATAGCAGTTTGTTGTTGACCATAGCTAAAGTGGGAGAATCAACTTTTCCTAATGTTAAATTATAAGGAATCATGGAAACATGATATCTGTAGGTGTAGGATGAGGTGCTGCCTTTTACTCTTTTCTTTATATTAATTCAGATCTCTTATTACATGCCAGGCATACCCTCATTTAACCCACCCAACAATCCTATGACTACCATTATTTCTATGTTATAGATGAAGGAACTGAGGCTCCACAGGTTAAGTAACTTGCCCACAGTCACCTAACATGTAATGGCTGGAATATTAAAATGTTTCTCTGATTCCAGAATCTGCTCCCTCCAGCCCCCAATAAAGAAATATAAAAACCAAGACTGGAGCCACTACTCAAGCCAATAGCAGACACAGTCAACTGACCCAGCCAACTTCCAAGCAACAGCTGGCCATTTTGTCCTGAGATTTTTAGTTTGATTCAATGAGGAGAAAAAGATAGTTAAGGTACTGGCTGAAGATACAGAGAAAATAATTTACACTTAAGTGTTGCTCATTTATTTGGTTCTTAGTTTATTTTTCAGATATTTTGAGTTTAGAAGATGTATCTGTACTTTTCCAAATACTTAAAAAACAATGCTTTAAAATCTCATTATAAGATGACTGTTATAACATTTACCTCTTTTTACTGATTCCATGCTCATCGCCTGCCCTCAACCCATAGAAATGCTTAATTTGCTAATAGGAAGATAGTAAATTTTTCTAAACAAGAAATTCTGATTAACAAATGTATTTTTAATTTTTTTCCATTTTGCTGCCATTCTTTTAAATATAAAGACACTCTCCTGGCTGGGTAGCTGTGACAACTTGGATATCTGGACAACGTTAAATCATTTAAATAAGATTTGACAAATTTCCTGAGTGTTGGAAGTAGTTTTGATTTTTGTTTAAAAACTACTAATTAGAAACATACTGGAAAATAGGGTGCAGACAGACCTGAGAAATCATCTATCCCAAACCCCACCACCACAGCCACCATTTTAAAGATGAGGAAACTGAGCCCTATAGCAATGGGAAGGTATGGAGGAATGTTACAAGACTCACCAAGGTCACACAAGGTGAAGTCCAGACCTCAGGCATCGTGATCCCTCAGTCCAGTCTCCTTCCCTACCTGGTGCTCCTCTCTGCCCTGTCACTGCTTGAGTTGCGGGGGCCTGTCTACACTGGTGGAGAATAGAAAGGTGAACATGTGGCCTTCTCAAGCCCATTGTTATTAAATTAATAATATTAACTCTCTTTGCTTAAAAAAATCCTAACTTAATCATACTATGTGATTCTTTTCACTAAAAGAAATCTCATGAAGCATTTCAGAAAGGAAAAGTGTCTCGGAGAGCAAGCAGAGTGTCTGAGAGGCCCCCAGCCATGGGGAAGACAGGGTGGTTTGGCACACTCACTTGCTGTCACCTTCCTTTTCCCCGTTGTACCACCAATCCATGATCAAGGACTTGGAATAAAGGTCTTGCACCTTCTCCAGGTCACTCTGCCCTTGCTCCATTTCCTTAACTAAAAGAGTCAGATCTTCATTCTGCCAAAATTAGAAGTGAATACGTTATGAGACTGTATAAAAGAGTTCAAATTTGAAACATTTCTAACAGAAAGCCAACTGTATCAGGAAAAGAAGAGTCTAAAGAATGTCATGTGGTTCTTATTCCACTTTCAGCCAGCTTTACTGATGTATAATTCACGTATAATAAACTGAACACATGTCAAATGCACCATTTGAAAAGTTTGACATTCATATCAGTGAAATCATTACAATCAAGACAATGAACATGTCTATTGACCCCAAAAGTTCCCTCGTGCCCCATTGTAAATCTGCGTTGCCTCCTACAACTCTTCTCCCTAAGTCTCAAAAAGCTACTTATCAACTTTCTGTCACTATACATTAGTTGCAATTTTCTAGAATTTTATATAAATGGAATCATACAGGAAATATTCTTTTTTTGGTCTGGCTTCCTTCACTCATTATTATTTTGAGATTCACCCATGTTGCAGCATGAATCAATACCAAAATTTATTTATTCATTCACTTGTTCACGGACAGTTGATTTGTTTCCAGGTTTGGGCTATTGTAAATAAAGCTATGAACATTTGTGTACAAGTCTTTGTATGGACATCTGCTTTCATTTCCCTTGACTAAATATCTAGGAGTAGAATGGTTGAATCATATGATTTGTGATGTTAAACTTTTAAAGAAAAAACCAGGCCAGGCACAGTGGCTCACGCTTGTAATTCTAGCACTTTGGGAGGCCAAGGTGAGAGGATTGCTTGAGGTCAAGAGTTTGAGACTAGCCTGTGCAAGAGTGAGACCCCATCTTTACAAAAAATAGAAATATTAACCAGGCATGGTGGCATGCACCTGTAGCACCAGCTACTTGGGAGGCTGAGGCAGGAGGATCCCTTGAGCCCAGAAGCTTGAAGTTGCAGTGAGCTATGATGATGCCACTGCACTCTAGCTGGGGCAACAGAGCGAGCCCCTATCTCAAAAAAAAAAAAAAAAAAAAAAAAAAAAAAGAGAAAAAGAAAAGAAAAAGGAAAAAACCAAACTGTTTTCCAAACTGGTTGTATCAGTTTACAGTCCCACCAGCAGCATATAAGAGTTCCTCTACATCCTTGCAAACACTTGGCATCATCAGTCATTTTAAATTTAGCCATTGTAATAGTTATATAATGGTATCTAATTGTGGTTTTAATTTGCATTTTCTTAATGTCTAATAATATTGAGCAACTTTTCATGTTCTTGTTTGCCATGAATATTTTTTTTTTGGTAAAATGTCTATTTAAATTTTTTGCCCATTTTTTGAGTTTTCTTATTATTAGGTTTTGAGTGACCTTTATATATTCTGGATACAAGTCCTTTATTAGACATACGATTTGAAACTTTTTTTTCTTTCAGTGTGTAATTTGTGTTTTCATTATCTTAGCATCATCTTTTAAAAAGAAGAAGCTTTTAATTTTGATCAATTCCAATTCAACAATTTATTCTTATATGGATGGTGCTTTTGATATACTATCTAAAAAAAATTCTTTGTCTAACACAAGATCACAAAGGGTTCTTCATAGATTCTTCTCTAAAAGGAGAAAAACCTAGGTTTTACATTTAGGTACATGAACCATTTTGAGTTAATTTTTCAATATGGTGTGAGTTATAGATTAAAGTTTTTTTGGTATACGGCTGATCAGTTGTTCCAACACTATTTTTTGGGTGAAAAATCCCTATCCCTTCTCCACTGCAACTTATAGAACTTACAGAACTACTAGACACAAAATCAGCAAAGACAGAGAAGACATGAACACCACCATCAATCAACATGGTCTAATTCACGTATGGATCCCCTGGGATCCTTGTTAAAAATATAGATTTCTAAAGTTTGGCACAATGGTGATAATTGTTGAATTTTAATTATGGGTACATGAGAATCCATATATTCTACTTTTGTGTGTGTTTAAAACTTTCCATAATAAAAAGTTTAGAGAAAAATAAAATTTATGAATTAAGATTCCTGGGCCTTTGCTATATTCTGATTTAGTAGCTCTGAAGTAGGATCCAGGAATCTGCTCAAGTGCCCTAGCTCAGGTGTGGTCCTTGGACTACATTTTGAGAAACACTGGTACACTCAATGTTAAATGATTCATTTGCTCAATTTCGTTATCTTTGTGGTTGCTATTTTCCCAACTAAAATATTATATACAGCCTGTAATCCTCAAATAAATGAACACTCCCTTCCCAGTCCATCAAGCTCTTACCTGAACAGCCTCTGGAGGAACAAGGTCTTTGTAACCAAAATTGTAAAAATGGAACTCTCCTCCAGTCAAAGAAGCAAGCTCTCTCAAAAATCCATTTGCAATCTCATCATTGTAATTGAAAGAGATGGTATAAATAGGAATTTTCTGAAAATCCTTGACTTGGTCTATAACCATTTCAGGTGGCTGAAATGATAAGTTTTGAGTGGGGGGAAGGGAGATGGAAAGAGAGAAGAAGAGAAAGAAAAAAAAATAAGACATGAAAACTCTTAGTATTTGCTATAGATAGTGAAATTCTCAAATAGTAATTCCTTATACAGTAGTGAGTAACTTCAATAAATGTTATCAATTCAACTTAATAAACAAAACCGCCAGATGGTGAGAATACAAAGAACAATAAGACATGGCCGTTGCCCTCTGAGGTCTTTCAATTTGGTGGAAAAAAGAAGCTAGGAGAAAGACTTGGCTAGCCAAGTAGCCCAAACTTAGGTGCACTAAACTTAGAGCCCATGCCTTTAAAGTGCTGGGCTATGTTTAGATCACTTAAAGTACTGAAGTCTGAAGCCATGGATAGAACATCCTGACCATGGGGATTCCTCAGAGCAGAGCCCTTGGTTTCTCTTCCACAGCATCTCCACCAAAAGAACAATTTCTAGTTTCCAACATGCTATGGTTAACTTGCTTCCCAAAAGGAAGAGACGTAAGGTCCTTCCATGTGCTGGGCATTCATCCTGGAGAGCGAAGAATGCTGGCAGCCTCTGTGAGGAGCATACTAAGGAGCCCCAGGGCTGAGATAGGCTTCCACACCCCACACAGGAGCAGAACAGGGCATGGGCCTTCCACTGCACAGCCCAGGAGAGGTACTGGAGACAGTGGCTGGAAACGGTCAGGGTTAGTCAGGCTGCAGTGGTAAGAGGTTTGTTCCAACTTCCTGAGTCTCCTCTTCAGAGCTCTGAGGACATAAACCAATGGAAGGGATCCTCAAGGCTGTGGGCAGGAGGACAGGACTGGCTCATTCCCACTGCAAAGATGGAGCTCTGCCTCTGCCTACCCTCTGTCCAGCTCTCTAGCACCACACTGTGGCACTTGAATGTCATGCCAGTTTAGCACGATGGTACTACCTGGGGCTGTGTGCAGGTGGGGGGCTCATAAGGACACACATAACAGTCTCTCATGTGCTTGTGCTCTCTTTAGCTGTATGGACTGATGGAAATAGCTCTAGAGATGGAGACCTGGGCTGGAAGCTCATTCTTGGCACTGCCCAGGACCTTGGGTAAGTGTCCTCTCAAATGTGTTTCCTTGTCTGTGGCTTAGAGCTAATACTCTCTCCTAACAAGATTGCTATGAGCAATAAATGAGATGATGTTCTCATGAAGCCATCCCACAAATACTTCTGGAGCATCTTTCATGTGCCTGGTGCTGCTCTCAGCCTAAGATGCGGCCAAGCGGCGCTCCTGAGGAGCTCCGCCAGTTCCCTCTTCTCCAAGTCTGAACAGATACGCAGCCAGAGTTCCCTTCCACCACAAACATTAACTTGGAATGGAATGAAAGGCAGGTCTCCTCCCTGCCTGAGGAAGGTCTATTTGTGAAGGTTGATCACCCCGTGCCTCCCCTATCCCCCAGCCCTCACATACCCCATGCTAGGCTTTGTCCATTAGCTTTTATCCAGAATGGTGTAGATGCCTTCATCATGTCCTTTTTTTGATTCCAGCCATTGTGAGCCCCTAACTTCAAAGAAGCCCCAGAATGACCACAGCCAAAGCTGCCCTGGACTGTTCCAGCAGAAGCCCTTCCCTGTCAGTTTGCACCTACAGATGCCCACCAAAGGATACCTCACTAATGTGGATCTGATTCCATTTTAATGACAACTAATATTTCTAAAATCCCCTTGACCTGATAATTTTAAAGACTGTACCACTTTATAATGCTGCCCTGGACATTTAATAAGCAAGCAGTAAGCTGGTATCTATGTAGCTGAATCCAGAACAACATCTCTGTGTGTTCCTCCAAGTAAAAAATTCTGCTCAATATTTGGAATAATAACATTGACCTCACATATTCAGTTCCTACAAAGTCAGGTAAAATTTGAAAACAAATGGAAATTGAGTAGTACGTCTTAATGTCTTCTACACAGAACATGGATGTCCAATATCCATTTGCTTTTTTGAGCGACTCTGAGTGATAATGTGAAGTATTATAAATAGACCACATCTGTGGAAAAGGCAGTATTGAATATGAAAATTCTTAAGAGTTCATAAATCATGTTTTGGGTAATTTGCATATTTCTGATATTATTCATATCCTTTGTTCTCCATCTTTGAGTGGACCACAGACCCTCTGAGAATCTGGTGAAACCTATTGATCTTCTCTCCAGAAAAAAATGTTTGAGTGTGTTTTGCATATATTAATAGGAAATTCCAGAGCCTCGGAAGGTCATGGTGGACTGTAGATCAAGAATTCCTCTCAATACCCTGCTAGCAGGGTTGTTACTTGGTACATCCTCTTTGAGTGGGGGGCTACTTGGCAGCATCCATCAAAATGCATACCTTTTGGCTGGGTCCACTTCTCAAAATTTACACTACGGACATACACATGTGCAAAATGATATATGTACACAGTTCCTTTTGCAACACTGTGTATAACAGAGAGACTGGAAATAACCTAAATGCCCATCTCCAGGGAATTGGTTAAATATATGAAGACACAGCCATGTGATGGAATTATATAAAAATGAGGAAGTTCTTTACAAAATGATATGATATAATCTCCAGGGTATATTGTTTGATGAATAAAGGTATAGAATAATGTGTATGATATGCTACCATTTGTATTTTTTTTAAAAAAGTGAAAATATAAAAAGGAAAAATTATACATTTTTAGAATGTTTTTATGAGTAAATTTAATGTACCAAAAATAAAAATTTAGAAAAAGAAAAAAAAGAGGAAATATATATGAATACATTTCTGGGGAATAATATAAACTACCTCTGAAAGGAGATACAAGAAACTGGTGGACATCAGTTGCCTCCTAGCTGGTGAATAGGAGTGAGAGGGAGACACACATACCCTTCTGTATACCCTTTTGTACTTCTGTAATTTGTGCTATGTGAATGTATTACTTATTCAAAAATTAAATAAAAATAGTTTTCAGGTAAAAGTTTTATTAAATTGATAGAATATGATGTACTCATTGAGAAGGATGTTTCTGAAAGATTGCTCATGACTTGGAAAAATGCATATGATATATTTGATGGAAAAAAAGCAGAACACAAAACTGAATTTTGAGTGATTTGAATTTTCTTTTTCTATGCTTATCTATACTTTCTAAATTGCCCAGAGCATAAACAATTTAAAAAATTAGTAAGAGTTTATAAAAAAGAAACAGACACCCAGCATAGATGACTCTCAAATCATAATCTTCAGTCCACATTCTCCCCAAACTCCAGCCCCATATTTCTAGGGGTTTCTGGATGTCCATGCACTACAGGTGTGCAAACTCAGCTTCCTCCACCAGCAACTGCCAAGCTTGCTTGCTCTTTCTTGAAAATCAAATTTCAATCAGTTAAGAACATAATCACTGTTAACGAAAAATCAGGCATCTTAACTCCTTTCTGCTTTGCTCCTAACTTCCCCTCATCCCCAATCCCTTGTTCCCAAACTAGCCACCATGTCTAATAGATGCTCATATCCTCCCCAATCCTGCTGCTCCTGCCTGAGGCTGGGCCCTTACTAGCTTTCATCAAGGTCCTGGCAGCAGGCGGTGGCAGTGCCAGCCTTTCCCTGGCACTACTGAGGCATGCTTCTAAAGCATAAATGGATGCAATGACCCACTCCTCTGAGAGTTCCATAGTGCAGTGACACCTACCTTTTCAATGTGGCATTCAAGGACCTTCACAACCTCCTCCAATCCAACTATCTTGCCTCAGCCCCACCACTCTTCCAACATTACCCTTGCCCTCAGCTTGTATCTCTGAGCATCCCATGGATTTCCACACCTCTACGTGCCTTCTGCCCTGGACACAGTAATCCCCTCTGTTCAGAAAATTTCTTCTCCTCTTTCCAGACACAGCTCAAATATTCCCTCCTAGTGGAACCTTCCCTGGTTTTCTCTCCATCTTATAGAGCAGAATTCATCACTGTGTGCTCCTAGACATAGCACAGGCAACCCCGTTCCTTGTATTGTATTAGAGTTAACTGTGTACACTCAGCACATTCCCCAGGGCACAAGCTTCCCTAAGGCAGGGATGAGATATTATTCATCTTTGTTGCCTCAAACCTTGGCAACACACATGGAATATAAGAGGGACACAATAAGTTACTTCTGAATAGAAAATACAGTGAAGTTGATAAAAAAAATTCAAAAATTTTTTCACTTTACACACTACATTTCTGCCATAAATCTAAAACTGTAGTAAAATCCAGTTGCTTTACTATTCAACCCCTGAACTATTTGACACAGGAGATTTTAAAATATTTGCCTAGCAGTCTGCACATGCAAACATCTTACAAGGAAGGATACAAATTGATACTAATTCACTGTAGAGGTTAATTTACACTATGCTGGCCTGAAAATCCTTGTATTTATTTAATGCCTGGAACACTTGCCTTTCATTCACAAAGCTCAAAAGAAGATGAATAAACTCCCCTAAAACTTTGCAAATACTTTCCAGTCAGGCTAAACAAAACAAAGAACATTTCACTAGAAAGGCATGTTTTTGTTTAAATGAGTACTAAGTTAAAATTAAGGGTAAAACCAAGGACATTGTGCAGTGACATGTTTAGATTCAGAGACCCCAAAGGAAAAGAATCTCCTCATTCTTAGTTTGTAATAAAATGTAAACCAGTCTTCAATGGAAGGCAGACATCTCCTTTCATGGGGTTGGGCTCTAAGCTCTTAGTGTGTTTCACATTAAAAGTCAGCATTCACTGTCACATAAATTATCCTCAGAGTTGCAGTAGACAAAGCAATTCCTCAGTGTATTTTCTCACCTCAGTTCTAAGTCCCTAAGCCAAGGAAATGTATCTCAATAGCTTTTTGATGGCAGCTCAGAACATGCCCCAAACCCATTCTCAGCACTCACTTTCCAAGTATTGGTGAGTCTCTCTTTGTTCCCAACTTTGATACATACCTGATCAGGTCTCCCATCTGTCATAAGGTAGATTACTTGTGTTTCTTTATCAGCAAAAGCAATTTTCAGGGCATTCAGGGTGTTTGTGGAACTTCCAATCTGTGGAACAAAGAGAGACACCAAGTATATACTTGAATCTCAAAAAAGATCTCACAAAGAAATATTTATTTTCTGCTTGCAAAAAAAAAGAAGAAAAGGTACTTGTGAAATAAAAGGTAAATTAAAATTATATTGATATTATAATTTAAGCCTAGTGATTCCAAGAAACGCAATCCCTGGGTATGCCATAAAAGTTTCTATCCAGACAGTCCAAGGACAGCTAAAAGCAGGACTGCGGATTTCCTGTCTTGACAACAAAGATCTTAATGTAATTTTATCTTTTTGTGTTTCTGTGTGAGACACTAACTTAGTTACTGCTCATCTGTCAACAGACCTTGAATATGCAGCCTGAATATACCCTGGTGGGGATCATGTGTATTTCAAACCAGGATTTATTCATGACACCCAATATTTGGCAAACACAAGTGTGGTATGAATAGCAATCTAACAACAGACACATGGACATATCTAACATAACTTGATTTCCTACATGTTCTGGTGAAATACACACTTTCAAGTACATGGAAACATTACTAGGACTTCTATGGATGCATGGTAGTGAATGAGGGACTCTAAATGTTCTGCTTTACATATCATGGGAATAAACAAATTTCAGACAAAACTCCAATCAATAAAAAGGAATAAGTTATGGCCCATTCTCTCTCCTACACATAACATCAATCATAATACCATCCACAATTCTTCATGTAAAAAAAGAACAGATAAGAATATGCACATTGTGTTTCAAGAGAAATTAATGACAGAGATTTTTAGCAATCTCTTAAATCATAGTAAAAAATTGCAAATTAGAAAATCTCTGGAACACATCATCAATATAAAAAGGAATGAATTTTTAGATAAATGTAAATTCACTGGAATGTACTCTCCTTAATGTGCAGAAATGATCCTTACCAAGAGATCATCAGTAGATACGCAGGACTCTGAGTTGACCAATAGCCTTCATCTCAGTCCCAGTATATTAGTCCTGGCTTTAGTTGTAAGCAAGAAAACCAACAGTGGATGATTCAAACAGGAGGAAATTTATGAAAAGAACATTGGGATGGCTCACAGCATCATCAAACGGACAGAAGAACCTGGCTTGGGACTTGTCACCAGGAGCAAGGCCCCAAATTCTGCTGCAGACCTGCCTGGTGGGGGCCTCACTGCAGACCTGCTGCTAAGCACCAGATGCTGTAACTTGCCTCACTGACACTGTGAGTATCAGATATGAGATGGACCAGCAGCCCACCACCACTGCCACCCCAGGAGCTACCATCTACATCTGCCACCACTGCCATGGTTCTCCTTGTTAAGCCAACCATCTGGAGTCCCTACCTCTCAATTCAAAACCTAGGAGTTATTCTGAGTGGTGCTGCCTGGGTCACATTACTCATACCCTAGCTGAGGGGAGGCCAGAATTTTCTACTTCCATAGGGTGAAAAGGCTCTGCTCCCATACCAAGAATCAGGATAAGAAGGGAAGAGAGACTGATGGCCAAAGGAATGGCAAACATCTAGCACATACCAATCCCCTCCACCAAGACTTCTCAAAGCCTCACCATATGCCATAGCTGCACTCTCTATTAAGAGTTCCTCAGACTCAGACACAAATGGGGAATTCTATGCCCTGACCCATTCAGTTGCTCTCACCTAGAGCTCCTTCATTTGGCTTTACTCTCTTTCATTTCAGCACATATTAAGTAAGCACCTAAGTACCACATGCCAGGAATTTTACTAGGACTGGGACATATGAAACCAGACCAAATTCTGTGTCCTGAGAGGGGGTTCACAGAATGGTGCTAGAGGCCTAGAAAACCACTACCAAGCACTGTGCTGAAAGCTGTAACGGATCATGCCCAGCATAAGCTGTATGCTTACTCTGGTTGGGTGTGTTGCTAAAGACATCTTATGGTGAAGGCAGCAGGGAAGACTATTCAAGGATGAGTAGGGTAGGTATGCAAACACAGAAAGGATGGTGGGTGCTCCAGATTCCTTTCTTGTTCAGAATTTGGCAAGTAATTCCATACTTATAAAGCCCATATGACAAGAGAGGCCAGAAAAATGATGGTGGTAATGATAACTATAAAAACAACATCTACTGAGTACTTCCTAGGCTTAAGTACTTACTTTTCCTGCATTCTTACTCTGTGGCATAAGGAGACTCAGCCCAGCAACTTCTGAACCCCCATCCCCACCCCAGAAGGCCACCCAGCAACAACAGGCAGCTCAGGGACATGCCTTCTACCCCTGTAGACAGCACCAAACAGGCATTGAGTGGGAGCCCAAGCAGCATGAAATGGCTCAGAAAACTAAATTGTCACTGGAACTAAAGCCCACAAAATAAGCTAGAACAAACATGCTAAACCTAAACACGGTGACTGCCTGCTAAATGAGAAGACTTAAATGGGAATAGTCTCTTAACATAATAACCAACTGTCGAAGATATAATTAAAAAATCACTCATTGTACGAAGAACAAGAAATACCACACTGGAATAAGAAAAGCAATCAACTGATGCCAATATCAATAGAGCCTCGGAGATCTCTGGGACAATCAAGAAGATTTAATATTCATACCATTAGAGCAGCAGTCCCCAACCTTTTTGGCACTAGGGACTGGTTTCATGGAAGACAATTTTTCCAAGGACTGGGGATTGGGGGATGGTTTCGGGACAATTCAAGTGCATGACATTAATTGTGCAGTCAAACCTCTCTGCTAATGATAATCTCTATTTGCAGCTGCTCCCCAGCACTAGCATCACCACCTCAGCTCCACCTCAGATCATCAGGCATTAGATTCTCATAAGGAACACACAACCTAGATCCCTCACATGTGCAGTTTACAATAGGGTTTGCGCTCCTATAAGAATCTAATGCCACCACTGATCTCACAGGAGGCAGAGCTCATGTGGTGATGTGAGCGATGGGGAGTGGCTGTAAATACAGATGAAGTTTCACTGGCTCACTTGCTGCTCACCTCCTGCTGTGCAGCCCAGTTCCTAACAGGCCATGGACCAGTAGCAGTCCACAGCCCAGGGGTTGGGGACCACAGCATTAGAGTTTCAGAAAAGAGAGGAGAAAGAGTGTGGGACTTAAAAAGTATTCAAGTAATAATGGCTAAAAAAAAAATCCCCAAATTGGGTGAAAGATACAAAAACTACAATTCAAGAAGCTGAGCAAACCCCAAATTGGATGAAACCAAAGAACTCTACACCAAGACACATTGCATTTAAATTTCTGAAAACTAAAAAAAAAGAAAAATCTCAAAAATAGTCAAAGAGAAGTAACACATTACCTATAAAAGAACATCAATTCAAATGACAGCAGTTTCTCATCTGAAACCATAGAAACCAGAGGGAAGTGGCACAACATTTTTCAAATGCTGTAAGGAAAGAACTGCCAGCCATGAATCACATATCTGGTGAAAATATCCTCCAGGCTGGAACAAAAGGAAAACTATGAAAATTTATGGCTGGGAGACCTACCCTTAAAGAATGGCTAATGGAAGCTCTCAAAATAGAAACCAATAATAGAAGAAAGCTTGGACTTTTAGAAAGGAAAGAACAACAATGGAATGGGTAAATGTAGAAGTAAGCATAAAACACAATCCTTAACTTCATGAGTTTCTTTAATTGTGTTTTATGATTGGAGCAAAAGTTTAACAACATCTAATATGCTGTATAATGTATGTAAAGGAAATACTTTAGACAATTATGCTTTTTAAATGGTGAGAGTAAAGGGACCTAAATGGAAGTAAGGTTTGTACACCTAACTTGAAGTAGTAAACCCTCAATACCAGTAGACTATGATAAGGAAATATCTAGAACAACCATTAAAAAAACTATACAAAGCAATACACTAAAAAACAATAAAAATAAATCAAAACAAAATACTAATAAATGCTCGAAGAACTCATAGGAGGGCAGGAAAAAATAGAGAAATGAGAAACAGAGGAAACAGACAGAAAAAAATAATGAAATGAGAGACTTAAGCCTTAAATATCAATAATTACTTTGTATGTAAATTGTCTAAATATACCAACTACATGACAGAGGAAATGCTGTCTACAGGAAACTCACTTTAGGCATAACAACATAGATCGGTTGAGAGTAAAGGATGGAAAAAATATATTATGCAAACATTTATTTCTAAAAACCAGGAATAACTGTATTAATATCACATAAGGTAGACTTAAAGCAAAGAAAATTACTAGGGACAAAAAGTGATATTACATGATGATGAAAGGCTCAATCCACCAAGAAGACAACAATCCTAAATACGTATGTACCAAACAATAGAGCTTTACAATACATGAAACAAAATCTGATGGAGCTGAAAAGAAAAATATTAACAGATAAATAAATAATTATGGAGATCTTCAGTATCTCATTCTTTTTTATTTCAATAAATTGAAGGCATACAGTGGTTTTTGTTACATGCATGAATTGTATAATGCTAAAGTCAGGACTTTCAGTGTATCCATTAGCAGAATAGTATATATTGTACCCAATAGGTAATTTTTTATCCCTCAATCTCCTCTCATTCCCTGCTTAGTTTCCAATGTCTATTATACCACTTTATGACTATATATACTCATTGTTTAGCTCCCACTTATAAGTGAGGACATGTAATACTCCACTCTTAATGGCTGACAGAACAATTAAACAATCAGCAATGATGTTGAAGAACTAAACAATACCATCAACTAACCAGATCTAATTAACATTTATAGAACACCCCACCCAACAGAGTACACATTCTTTTCAAACAAACATTGAACGTTCACATAAATGGACCATATCTTGAGTTATAGAACAAATTTAAAAGAATTCAAATGGTGCAGAGTATGTACTTTGACTATAGTGGAATAAAAATAGAAATCAATAATGGAAAGACAACATGAAAATCTCGAAACACTTGCAAATTTTGAAAAAGGTTTTAAATAATTCATGGCCCAAAAAAGTAAATCACAAAGAAAATAAAAAATTAAATAGAACTAAAT